TAAAGATGAAGGGACCACTCCCCCTCTCCCCCAAGTCATGATATGATATAACCAATAAAGCGGTAACTTTGGTACTGACACTAATGACACTTTGATTCTTTCATTTAAAAATGCCTAGATTGGTTAGTTTAATTTTTTGGATAAATAAAATGCATGGAGTTATTTATTAGCCTTGAAAATCAGTCTAGTACTTTTTCTTTGAAATTTGAAAAATGTGCTAAGACATTGTTTTGGAAGTTTAACAGCTTTAAAAGTGGAATATTTAAAGAGGCAAAGTACAGCCAGAGAAATGAAGAAAGGAAACTTGCGTGTGTGGTTTATTTATGATTTGAAAGGATGCAAGGACTGACCCTCTATGTTATAGTTTACATACTTCCTAGTTTAAAGCACAGGTAAGATGTTAGAAGCTAAAACTTTAGCTTGTTCGTCTGCCTGCAGAGTCCAAATACTTATGTTGTATTTTTTAATAACAAAATCCTGTGTGCCATTTAAGGCAATTGAGAATGAGCTTGTCAGAGATTTGGGTTCTTAGAAAAAATGGTTATCATTCAATGTGAAGTGAGTAGTGAAGTCAGCGGGCCACCATCTTGTATGTACCTTAGACTTAATAAAATCTCCAAACTCAGGCTTGAAGATGTGTATATGCATAGTCTTCAAGTTTTGACTCTAGTCCTGTTGTTCCCCTAAATCCATGTTTATCCAAACCTGTGTTACTCAAAGTGTGATCCGTGAACCAGTGTCAAGTCCACGAATTGTTACTAACTGTCATAAGTACAGAAACTTATTTAAAAACTTTTATAGCAATTTGACATTGGCACAACATCTGTGCATGTGATCATTTTCTAGTAATTTGTTGCGTTTTACAAAGTATAGGTTTTGACAGATTGGAGGGTGTGGTGGGGAGCGGCAGTTCCCACAGATAGTTTACAAAGCACTACTCTAGATCCTCCTTTTTTTCCCTCAGAAATTCCAAACTCTTTGTATCCGTGTGGCCTTAGTAGAGGCTGGGGGAAAGGACAGGAAGCCCAGTCAGCTCTGACTGTGTGCTGACTGGTGAGTGGAGGTGCTGATTATCTGAGATTATTGTATCTTCACATAGAATTCCCTTTCACCATTTTCCTGCTTCACTCTAACACCAATTTACTGTGCACAAGAATTGCCCGGGGCTGCTGTTAACAATGCAGATGCCTGTGCGGGATCCCCGAAAGTCCTGATTCCACAAGTCTGATGCCCAAGAATCTACATTTTAAACAAACAACTCATTGGATTCTAGTGAATGTTGTTCCTGGATAGGTTGTTTAAATCCGGATACTTGAGAGTGAAAGGGGGCACTGTTAATGATTACGTCAGGACAAAATGAGTAAACTCAGAATATCCCAATAGGCATACTCAGACATATGGATGCTCTGTGTCTGGGCATATTTTTTGAAATGGAGATTTCATGGGGGCTGGCCCCATGGCTGAGTGGTTAAGTTTGTGCACTCTGCTTCGGCAGCCTAGGATTTTGCCGGTTTGGATTCTGGGCACAGACATGGGACTGCTCATCAGGCCATGCTGAGGTGGCATCCCACATGCCACAACTAGAAGGATCCACAACTAAAAGTATACAACTATGTACCGGGGGCTTTAGGGAGGAAAAGGAAAAATAAAATCTTTAAAATGGAGACTTCAAATTTAATTAGAAAGTTCTTATTTCCTTTCGTGACCAAACTTAGCTGGATGATGGCTGTTTCCTTTAGTTTTCTCAGGAAAACTAAACAGCCATGGAAGAGTGGCTGTTTCCACTCTTCTATGAATCAACCTCAACTGCAGTGTGTATAGAACTGTCTGGTAAAAGAAGGGAGATAGAATTCAGGGCTTCTAAAGATAGCTGGGAGTAACTTGAGGGGAGGTAGGACTCACTCCTTTAAAGTTGAAGATTCTTTGTTCCTGACTTGACAGATATAGATTTTATTTGCCCTAACCTAAAAACTTAGGACTCTTCTGGAACTTTCTGTTATGTATGTTGTCCCAAGCCAATCTTAATTCTGCTTAGTGTCCCTGGCTCAGCTGTGACCCATCTCTCTTAGCTGGGCAGAATCCCCTTGATCCTTGATTCAGCCTTGCTTTTGCTTTAACTAAATGACTGGTTTACTTGTTTTGTTTTAAATAAGTTGCAGCTGAAGAATTTGAGAGAAAGAAAAAATATCTAAATTTCTTCCTCAGGAGCTCTTTAGGTTGTTGTCACTTCTACTTACATAGCTTTCATGATATATAAGAAAAATGGGTTTCCTATTTTGTAAACTGTTCTCTGACTGCAACTGAATAGTATCTAAGGAAAATTATTATATTTTTTTATTAAAGATTGGCACCTGCGCTAACATCTGTTGCCAATCTTTTTTTTCCTTCTTCTTCTCCCCATAGCCCTCGGTACATAGTTGTATATTGTGGTTGGGAGTGCCTCTAGTTGTGCTATGTGGGACACCACCTCTACGTGACCTGATGAGTGGTGCCATGTCTGTGCCCAGGATCCGAACCAGCAAAACCCTGGGCCACTGAAGCTGAGCCCGCGAACTTCACCACTTGGCTAGAGGGCCAGCCCCAAGGGAAATTATTTTTATTAGCAGTAATAGTACTACTGGTAAAAGTTGAATAATACCTGTGGATCTCTTGTCTCTGGAACTACCTTTGTTATAATACTTTTTTGTCGATTCCAACGTATTTGATTTTATGTTATTTCACTTTGTTTTCAGTTTGTTGGCCAATTTCTTTGGTTTACAAAGTGGGAGATTAAAAACAAGTAGGCTTTCTGTGGGGTTCATTTCAAAACTAGGAAAGGGCAGATTGGCTATCTAGAAATAGAGAATAAGAGTTTAAAAACCAAAAAGAGGTAAATTAAGTATGAAAGGAGAGGATTAAGTGTGGAATCTTCTATCTATTTTTTGGATCAAGATTTCAGAGGACTGGTGGTTCTCTGAAGTCATCTGCAAGAAATTAAGATTAAATGTAGCTGTTGATTGAACCTCATGTAAATTTCTCTAAAGAAAGTTTCTCTAAAGCTTATACTCTTAGTTTTGGTAATTCTTTCTACTTTTTCTATTATAAGGATTTCAAACATATTGCCACAGTAGAGAGAACAGTGTTATGAACTTCCAAGTGAGCTCACCCAGTTTCAAGAGTTAGTAACTCGCTACAGTCTTTTTCATCTCTACTACTGTTTCTTCCTTGTCCCTCGCCTATTATTATGAAGCAAATCCTAAATAGTATATAATTTCATCTGAAAGTATTTCAGTAAGAATCTCGAAACTGTAAAGGATTTTGTTGTTGTTTTACATTTTAGTAAGTTACATTACATTTTAGTAAAAATTTAAGTAAACTTGTTCAGGTATAACCTTTCACCCTGTCTTGGAGACTCAAAGATGAATAAATAAAAGATTCATCATCTATTTTATTTTTGTTTTTCAAGAAGCAGATTATCCTGTTAAAGTAGTATGGTGATATTCCATATGAATAACACAAATTAAGACAAATTTATGGGGCCGGCCCTGTGGCCGAGTGGTGAAGTTCACACCTTCTGCTTTGGTGGCCCAGGGTTTCACTGGTTCGGATCCTGGGCGCGGACATGGCACCGCTTATCAGGCCATCTTGAGGCGGCGTCCCACATGCCACAACTAGAAGGACCCACAACTAAAATGTACAACTATATGCTGAGGGGATTTGGGGAGAAAAAGCAAGAAAAAAAAAAAAACAGATTGGCAACAGTTGTTAGCCAGGTGCCAATCTTAAAAAAAAAAGACTAATTTATCCTTCAAATTAAGATTCTTTTGAGAGTGAAAGGGGACACCGTTAACAATTGTGCTAGGAGAGTAGTTGAAATCTGAGACTGCCCTGGGTAAACGGGGATATCCATGATTCCCTGTCTCAACGTGGTATTGACTGATTAGAAAGCTGCTATCATTTTTCCAGTGAGCTTTGACTAGTCAGAATGAGTCAGGTCATAGCTAACAGCGTGACGAAACCTACCACAGGACTTTCTTTACTTGTAACTAGTACAAAATGGTATGGCTAGATCAAGCCTAAAATTTTTAAAGTACCTGTAGATTTCAACTCGGTTCTTAATAACACTCCATAAAGCTGGAAGTGAAACCAGCAGACATAAATCACAAAATGAACCCCTCGTTTTAAAGTTAGCATTTATAGACTTGTGGCTGTTAGACCACAGGGAATCTAAACCGGACTGCGTTATAAAGTAGGTAAATGAGGAAATGATGGCCAATTTTAAAATGTCAAAAATTTTTTTCTGTTAAAGTTGCTAGTTCACTGTGATGTTGTATGACTTTTATATCCAGCATAAACTGAAGTTAGTTGTTCGCGTTTCCAGATTAGAGAAAACAACTAGACCTCCCATGCTCAAGGCTATGCTCTGTTACTATCCCAAGTTGTTCTCAGGCGCTCCATCCTGTTAGTGGTATTCTTGTTGTCAGTAATATTTTAAGCAACTACTTTTTAAGAATAAAGTCTACGTCTGTGATTCCCCTAACCAGGAACTGAAGTCAAACTTCTAAACATATGGTTTCATTAGGTCAGTTATTTGGAAGAAATAACTGCCTTTCTGGTGGTGTGATTTCTTTTTTTTCATTTTCTTTAACCACAGTTTCATTTTTAACACCTTTTCTGTAGATAAAAGATATTCATATCATCCAGTCCCTTGTCTCACTTTTAGCTTATTTTCTGAATCATCTTTAAAGTCTTTCATGTTTGTATGTAAAACATTGTAATTCATGCATATCTTTTAAATGGCTTCGACTTTAACTGTGGCCTTTTTAAAAATTAGAATCGATCATTTATTCTATCAGTATATGATAACAGTAAACAAATCTTGGAATTTTTTCCATGTAGCTGTGGCATATGGATGTAAAATCGTGGTGATGTATTAGGTTCAGTTTGTTACATAAGGAAGTGTGTTCATGGTGGTTCTCTATACGTTTAAGTGTTTTCAATTATTTTTTCTCTCTTTCTAGCTGTCCCCTTTCCTCCAACCCAGCGGCTTACTTTGAAGGAAGTATTTGAGAATGGGAAACCTAAAATTGATGTTTTGAAAAACCATTTGGTGAAGGAAGGGCGACTGGAAGAGGAAGTAGCCCTAAAGATAATCAACGATGGGGCTGCCATTCTGAGACAAGAGGAGACTATGCTCGAAGTAGATGCTCCAATCACAGGTATGAGAAGTATTTGTATGGTGGCACTTAGACTTGAGCTGATGTGAGAAATGATTACAAATAACCAACTAAAATATGTAATAATTTTTCTAGGAATTATGAGACAGTCTTAGGATTTTTTAGTATATTTGTTGTTTGTTGAAGACATACAATTTAAAATGTCTAATAATTCCAATAGGACTAGTCAGTATTGATAGATTAACTATAATTATAGAGCAGTCCAGTCAAAAGCTAAAGTGATTTAAGTTAAATTTAAACTGCAATCCCTATTGCTATAATACCCTTTTCTCTTCTAAGACGTAATTTTTCATCTCACTCTATGTCCTTTTTTTCCTAGTGTGTGGCGATGTTCATGGGCAATTCTTTGACTTGATGAAATTATTTGAAGTTGGAGGATCACCTAGTAATACACGCTACCTCTTTCTTGGTGACTATGTGGACAGAGGCTATTTCAGTATAGAGGTAAAAATGAAACTGGATATGTTGGACGTATCATATTGTCTTTTTTAAAAAAATTTGCTTTCCATCCTTCAGTAGAAGAAATTAAAATAACACCAATGGAATTTATAAACTTTGTTACTTTCAATAATGAAAGTGATAGAGAAGTGTTTTAATTGATATTAAAAAAATATATTCCTTTTTTTAGCCAGTAGAACATCTGACATATAGAAGGCTATATTAATTCAGCTTTGCAAATAAGTTAAATGTTTACTAGAACTTTCCTCTTTGAAGATAGTGTACAGGCTGTGTATAAATGACATAAGTTGCTATTCACCCTAAGCAGGGTTTGGATTAGCTGACCTTAATTATAAGACCATAAGCTGCTGGGCTACAGTTAACTGTTAGAGTAACTGCAGTGCTAAATAAGCAGACACTTAGCTTATTGTGGGAATAATTTCTCATACTATTGAGTAAGCACTTTTAGTAAGTGTTCATTGAAGGAAAAAATGATTACAGTTGATGAAGTTAATGAAAACTCAGAATTTACTTTTATGTATTTTGAAAATTAAATGATAAGAAGAAAATCGTTAGAATTAAAACGAAGTGTAAGGTTTTATGTATAAAAGATAAAACTATTTTGCAACCTAATGCAAGGACTGAGTACAATGGAACCACCGCACATTCCTGTTTAATGTCCATTGGGTTCAGCTGTCCATGCTTGGCAAATGAAAGAGAAGTAACTTTGGAAATAATGTAAGCAATCGAATTTATAATGTGCCCCGAATAAGCGTGGGATGAGAAATTGAGTCGGCTTGGTCTTGTAGTCTTTACTTCGGCCTCTCTCTCAGTGTGAGAATCTCACTGTACTAAGTGTGTTTCTGGTGGCTGAAGGTTTATTGTTCGTGCATCATCACTCCTAAATACAAGTCAGCTGTCTCACCTGGTGCCCAACCAAGGAACCTGCAGTTGTTCTAAAGCTGCCAGGAAAATAAACGACAAGAGAAATAGATCCTACTCTTTGGTGGTATAGGCAGCCTCAACTCATGAATCAGAAAAGTTCAGTGTTATCTGCCACTGCCTGAAGTTCACTTAGTGTCATGTACGAGGATAAAAGTTAATGATAGAACTAAGAAAAGAAGCACATTTTCCCTACTGCTCAGGAAATTCCCAAGGTCTCTAAATAGGTACCTGGCATGGGTGGAGATCATACTCACACTATATAATTGGAAAGCTTCCCTATTCCTGTTCACATCATGCTTCAGTAGACAGTAAGTCAAAAGTATGGATGTTTGAAAGATACATTGAATGTTTACTTCTTTTCGTGTTTGCTAGCATGAGGAAGTTTTAGGGGCTGAAGAGAAGGAGAATACAGATTTTAGTGAATTTTTAATTAGTTATTTTATGTAATGAAACAACTTTTTAAAAAGATAAATATTGTACCAAATCATCTTTTGATTGTTAACTCATATACTTTAAAAATAGTTTCAGTGCATCAGTATATTCAGTAAAGCGCACACACACACAATCCACAATGATTTTTTGTACACATATACTATGTTCAGAATATTTTGTTTTATATACTCTTTTCCTCACTCATCAACGAATGTTTCCTGAGTGTCAATTTTATAGCAGGCTCTGAAGATAAAATAATGAACAAGACTCATGCTCTCTATGGGAGCTGACAGTTTGCCAGAAAAGTTACACTGGTGAGTAGATCTTTCAGTGTAATGTGAAAGTGTTTAATTATCAGCAGGGTTCTTCATATTAGGGCCTAGCACAGTGCCTGACACATAGTAGGCACTCAGTTAATATTTGTTGAATGAATGAATGTTTATAAATCATAGTTTGTATTTGGCTTTATCCTGTTACTTGATGCTTGGCTAACTTAAAATGTTTTCCTGGAACATCTTAAGAGATAAATGAATCAAAACTTTAGAATGACAGTGCTATTTTATGCCAGTTTTAAAACTGAACTGTAGGTGATATCTAGTGTTAGTTGAAAGTCACTTACTTATAAACCACTCAAATTATAAACTTATGTAGGCTATAGCTTAGTTCAATATGATACAAGTATATACTTCAACAGTAATTTTTTATCAATGTCCTTGATAAGGCTGAGTGTGATGTTTTTGTCAAATGAATGAAAATAAGGTAATAGAGTCACTATGACAATTTTTTGTTGTAGATAATTCATGTCTTTTGTAGAAGAATTGGGAAATGCAGAATCTAATAAAACAAAAACTATAGTAAATCAGAGATAATTAATGTTAACATTTTATTATATTTCCTTGCAGTCTTTCTTTTTTTACATTTGTGTATGTATATTTTAAAGAAAATTGAAATCATTTTGTGCATTCCTTTTTGTACCCTTTTTTCCCCCCACTCAACACTGTCTTGAAAGCATTTTTCTCTATCATTAAAATTTCTCCAAAAGCATGGTTAGTGGTATAAATACCATAATTTATTTCACTGTTCCTCTATTGTTGGATAATTAGATTTGTAGTGGGTACTGCTTATTGCCTATTGCCTACCTTTTCTCTCCTTCCTTACCATCAAAAATCCCTATTTTATTCAGATAAATGAGATTGGGGGTTCAGAGATAACTTTTGACTTCAGGGAGGGAAGGCCCTTCTCCCAGCCCCAGGGAATGAATTCTTGTTGGTCTGAACTGGTCATGGCAATCCATTCCCTGTCACCGCTCTTGGTCTGGGGGTACACATGGAATCTTGTTTTGCCCAGTAAGGTACAAAGGGAACTCTTCTGGGTGTTTTTGTTGTGTTGTGTTGTGTTGTGTTGTGTTATGTTGTGTCTGTGTGTGTTTTGAAACATTTTCTTTCAAGATGAGAAGACTCGTGCAAGGTGAAAGCTTTTGGACCCCCTTTCCACTATGTCACTTCAAATGTGGGTGTGTTTACTGTAGCAGCCATTTTGTGACCCTGAGGAGGTGCTCTAACTAAGGATGACAGGCAGAGCTGCTGTGAATCACAGATCAAAGAGGTAGAGAGGGCATAGTTTCTTGGTGAGGATGCTGAGCTGGTACACTAAACCTGGGTGTCTTACCTCCAGATTTCTTGTTTCATGAGGCATCTAATGTCTTTATGGCTTAAGCAATAGTTAATTGGTTATTGCATCACTTGTACTGTAAGTGGTATAGTTGTTTTCCAGTTTTTTTTGTTCTGCGTATTACTACAGTTAACATCTTTTTGATTACATCTTTGATAGCATTTCTGGTATTTTCTTCAATCAGGTTCTTTTTTTTTTTTTTTAAGGTTGGCACATGAGCTAACAACTGTTGCCAATCTTTTTTTTTTTTTTAAGCTTTTTCTCCTCAAATCCTCCCAGTACATAGTTGCATGTATTTTTTTTTTTTTAGTTGTGGATTCTTCTAGTGTGCCATGGGGGACGCTGCCTCAGCATGGCCTGATGAGCGGTGCCATGTCTGCACCCAGGATCCGAACCAGCGAAATCCCGGGCCGCCAAAGCGGAGCTGGGGACCTTAACCACTCAGCCACAGGCCGGCCCCTCAGTCAGATTCTTATAAGTGAAATAACTGGGTGAAAGAGTGAGCATTTTTAAGGCTTTTGGTACATATTGCCAGATTATTTTCACAGCACCTTATTTCACTTTTTTCTCTTTTGATACCTAATAATTTCTCTTCCTTTGAGCCTATATGAGAGAATCAAGACATGCTGACTTTTTTTCCATGCCCAGAGCAAGCACTGCTGTTTCTAGAAGCAATGCAGGCTTTGATGGGGACTGATCCAAATGTCACTGATAAAACAGAATAGTAAAGTTTCACTTTTTCTGAGCCTTTTGGGGTTCCTTCTTTTTTTTTTTTTAAAGATTTTATTTTTCCTTTTTCTCCCCAAAGCCCCCGGTACATGGTTGTGTATTTTTAGTTGTGGGTCCTCTAGTTGTGGCATGTGGGACGCTGCCTCAGCATGGCGTGATGAGCGGTGCCGTGTCCACGCCCAGGATCTGAACCAGCGAAACCCTGGGCCGCTGAAGAGGAGCACGAGAACTTAACCACTGGGCCACGGGGCTGGCCCCTGGAACCCTGGGCTTCCTTCTTCATTTGTACCCATTATAAAGTACTTCCTCTGTGCTAGAGGAAGCTAAACTTTAGTTTCCTTTAGTTGATTTTTCAATAAAAGAAAGGGTTAAAAGGAACATTTTCAGCATGGAATATGGTATACTAAGAGCACAGGAGCCACCAAAGAGGAAATGTTATCAGATGACCAACTGATGAACAATTGTTGACACAGAAATGATTCTTGAGACACAGTAAAAATTCTGTTCACATAGAAATAAAGAAGTAATTGAGTGTCTGAACAGATCTTCTGATAATCATGACCTTGTAATTGAATTGTACAAGATAATTGCACAGTTGCATCTTCATGTATAATATACAGAAATAAAACTTGAGATTAGAGGCTGAGAAGTATATCAACAAAATTACATTGCAGTGTGAGTGTGGGCTGTGCTTTTTTTTTTTTTGAGGAAGATTAGCCCTGAGCTAACTGCTGCCAATCCTCCTCTTTTTGCTGAGGAAGACTGGCCCTGAGCTAACATCCATGCTCATCTTCCTCTACTTTATATGTGGGACGCCTACCACAGCATGGCGTGCCACGCGGTGCCCTGTCCGCACCTGGGATCAGAACCAGCGAACCCCGGGCTGCCGAAGCGGAACGTGTGAATTTAACCGCTGTGCCACTGGGCTGGCCATTGGGCTGTGCTTTTATAAATCTCATCACTTCAGATGGTGAGTTTGTCTTTTTAGGAGGCAGAAATAGAGACTCAAATAAATTAAAACATACCATGTTCTTGGTTGGGAAAAGTAAGTATAGGAAAGAGAAAGTGATTTCTAAGTTTATGTATGAATTTAATGTAGTTTTTCCTTGGAATATTTTGTCAAGTTGATATGTTGAAAACAAAAGTCAACCAAAAAAGAAAAAAAGCCATCTAAGTATATTTGTTTATGTCTACATATTTGTTTTATAATTTTTATTTTGCAAAGTCTG